GTTCATTAACAAAAACAGTAACATTCTGTTAAAAAAAAAAAAAAAAAATTAACGACCACATTTTTATTTGGTAAAATGTAATACTCTGACTGTTTGAGTTTTATTAAAATTAACCATTGGCCATCCAGTATCATGCATTTAGATCATACCAGGCATAGATAAAAACAGATAAAACCAGGCATAGCCTAACTTATAGCACCTCACTATCATGGCAAAATGTAACTTTATGGTTTCTATGGTATTTGTATGAAAAACAGTAGCCTAACAGTTAAATACATTGTGTAAATACTATAATTATATTCCATTAGTCATTTAATACATTGTCTAAATTAATAATATTATACAATTCAATATGTAGGCTATATCCCACATTTCATGGTGCAGTTAATATTACTAGGCTAACCTTGAAGTAAATCCATGGTAGGCTAAATGGATTCAGTATCAATTCAGATTCTGACTGTCTCGTTGCGCGCAGTGTTTCTCCTGTTTGTCAGCGCTGTTTCATCTGCCTTTAAACATTTGTGCTCTTCGCTGAACTCAAGCGCTTCTCACTGGATCTCGTGAGCGAGACGATCAGAGTAAACGCGTCTGCTCTGCCAGTCTGAGGGAGATCCGCACTAGTGAGCTCGCGCGCGCTGCCGTTTGGACTTTGAGCCGAGCGGATAAACGGTCCGTGAGGCGCGCGGTTGAAATGAGTTTCGCTCCGCTTTTGGCGCATAAACATTATCGAACATTTATCGACCTCTTGATATCGTTTTATCGAGAAAAATTATATCGCGATAATTATCGTTATCGTTTTATCGCCCAGCCCTAAGATGAAGCATGATTTACGATGAGCGGTGAAGAAAATGCCACCTCTGAAATAAAGACAGGGCCTAATTGGTCAGAACTCATCCAGGGGGCTGGACAAACATTTGAGTTTAAAATCTTAGACCTGAACAAAGCCTTATAGTTACGCTGAAGAGAGAGTTATGCTGAAGAAGATCCCAGAATGCATTAGGGTAGATTTACATCGTCATGAGAGCCATGACAGAGTAACAGACGGACGAGTATCCATGTAGACGAGCAGACAAAAGAACCCAAATCAAGACCAGAAGAACATGGGTTTAAACAGCTTCATTCAAGTCATCTAACTACTCGTCTCACTTTTCTTTCTTTTTCTTAGTTCTCTTTTCTTTTCCGTTGAGAGTTTCGGTTCTAAGTTAAGTTTTGCTGCAAAGTTTCGGTAAAACGCATCGACTGCAAAGCCGCTTCCAACTTTAAAGGGTCATGAAACCCCAAACCAAATTTTCTGAGATTTTAACAGAGGTATGTGTGTTGAACACCATTGAAGACAATGTTAGCATCTGTTAGATTTAATAGTAGGGTTAAAATGGTTAAATTTGAGTTTTTTTCCGCTTTTTTCGTCTTCCGGGTTTAAACTCTTCATCGTGTCACGTCACAGGCTGTGATGTGGCCATGCACTGTGAGTGCGTTGATGACTCATCGGTGTCTCATAATTATTAATGAGACTGAGTTTTCATATCCTATGAGAAGACACTGTCTGTTAATTATTCATGACACCACGTGGATCTTTCCAGTGACAGACATATGTCAAACTGTGATATCGCGTAGTAGATGAGAGAGGCAATCATGGGACGCAAGTGTTTGTTTTCGTCGTGCAAAAGTCCAAGTGGGTTGAAGTTTCCCCGCGATGCTGCCAAGGCAGGGCTAGACAACCATGGACACATCTAAACTATAGTGTGTGCCGCGAACATTTTCCTCGAGAGAGCTTAGAGAATTGGAGAATGGTGGACTTCGCCGTGTTAACAACCAATGCAGGTTGCGTCTTGCGAGTGATGCGGTACCAAGTCCCGAGGACTTTTCTATCCCTTCAGAGGTATGTGTGTGTGTCTAAAATGAGAAGTCATCCACCTCCACAGAGCCGTCTTTATTATGGGGGTTCAGGGGGCGCGTAGATCTAGGCTATGCACAAACGGGTTTTTTTAAGCGGAAAATTAATAATTTTCAAATATATGCATTTATAGTGTCTATACAACTATATATTTTATAATGACATTATATTTATACATGTAGCCTACATTAATATGTTTTAAATAGAATTACGATTACTGTAGGCTAATATATGTAGCAGGGCATTCAGTTACTTTTGAAAGGACAATAATAAAGTGTCAGTGTATTTCATAAGACTTTAACTTTGCCAGCTATAATTTTTTTTTTAGCATTTCACTTTTTACCACTGCCTTTTAGTGACAGTCGATATGCATGTGACACTGGCGACAACAGTGATTGGCCATACCACACCCACTCCCTCCCTTCTTCTCACAGCCATCCACACCCATTTAAGCATTTTTCAAAAAGATTGTGAGCTAGACTTAGACTTAGACTGAAAGAGGGGGGTTTCATGACCCTTTAAAAACTTTCCATCCATCCTCCAACACACCACGCGATTGGCCGACCAAGACATCTATCCAGGCACGAGGAGACCGCCAGCCAAGCAACGGACCCGGGAAACCCCCTTTTACGCTGACAAAATGAATTCTCAAAGGAATGCAAGGACAAGCAAGTAGCCTCCAGACTCTGAACTGAACTGGTGCATTGAGGTAAAATTGAATAACCCGCCTAAGAAACGATAGAAGGGTTAAATTAATGATTGATGGTTCATTCAGGTCATAAGTGCATAGAAACTTGGGATTTCATCATCTCACTCTTAAAACTCATTCTTTCCTCACTCTCTTTATTTCTGCAACTCGTATGAATGTGTGTGTGTGTGTGCGTGTGTTTGTGTTAGATATTCGTTTTATGTGTTAGAATAATCAATAAAGTCTTGTTTATATTTTAAAGATAATTGTTGTTGTGTTATGTGCTTACGAATTTAATGTCTTAAACTGCTGATCTAAGTTACCTTCATCTATGAGTTACCTTGCTAATGAATAGAGTTTCACTAGTTTGGATATTTATATCCGCTGCAGAGGTGATAGTTACGGCCGTTCAAATGAACGCTGGACGAGTCATTTGCTCGGCCGTATAAGTGATTCTTTTAAGATTCCCTATAAATTAATTGATAATTCCTTTTGAGCTAAATTGACCTGTCTGGCCCCTTTAATACATATGTGTGTTACACTCTCCTGGAGATGAGTTAACATCACGTCAGGAAGAGAGGGATGATTCTATGGATGCCGTGTCACTGCATGGCATGCAAATAATTCCCTTTATGGTAGTGAGGGGAATGCTGACGAAAACGAGGAAGATGACTCCAGGTCCGTAGTTTCAGAAGGGAGTCTGCATTTGGACATTCTTCCACGCATTTTAAGTGCAAGGATTCTGGGCCTTGATGCTCAGGAAGAAGCTCCAGCTCCAGCCCCCACACAAGGTGTGGACGAGTATGTCCCGTGCACAGCCTACTGTGTCTATTCCTGTGGCTGAGGATTATTCCCAGATGCTGAGGAAAGCCTGGAATAATCCAAAAGCTGCAGCCCAGTTTAATTAAGTTAGTTTGTTGAGTTAGATTAACCTCCTGAGAGTAGTATGGGGAACATGTCATCAGTGGAGTGAGATATCACAGCCTTAACCTCTTTGGGACCTGATAAGGTAATGACAACCCTTGTTGTCCTGGTAAGGAGTGCCAAAAGACTGAACGGTTAATGAGCCAAGAGTATAACAGCTACCCGGGCAGCCCGATCAGGAAATGCTTTAGCAATAGTTTTGGCTGCTTTAAGGAAAGTTGTTAATAAATAAGAGTGTGATGTAATGAATTTGATTGACACAGCACTCATCACACACTCACAGCTTACTAGGGATATTGGAGCATCTATGTTTTTAGCAATTTATCCAGAAGACAAATCTGGTTACCTCAGACATCTTTGCCTGATTCTATTAGGAAGGACCTCATAGATATATACACTAGATGTCGCCTTGGGGTTCTAAGCATGCGTCAAAATGCCGCCATCTTGGAACAGGGGTCTTGTTATAGGAAGTAGCTAGGTAACGCTGCTATCTCCGCCTGTACTCTTACTTTTGTGCTGCGTATGGATGTTCACACGAATTAAATCTGAACTAGGAAGATTTTTTTTTTTTTTTTTTCTCTGGACTCAATGATAAATACATGTCTGACCATTGGAACGAACCAAAAAACTAGAAAATCGCATTCATGACGATTTATGGTGATTTTATTTCCGTTAGACCTTTGCCTACATTGACGCTTATGCATTAAAGAGGAGGGGCTCCTCTGTTCCATGATGGCGGCTCTATTGACGCATTCATTCCAATGAACTGCTGTAGCCAAGGCGACATCTAGTGTATATATCTATGGAAGGACCTGACTAATATGCCAGTGGCTCCCGGTCGGATATTTCAAACTGATTCACAGTTCAGAACCTTATAGGGGTATGACAGAAGGCAAGCTAGGGGTTACCAATTCCATGATCAAGGCACCAGACCGCTTTATCAGGCTCCCCAAACTGACCAGTCTCACTCTCCAGTCAGGGGAGGATCACTTAAGAGACGTACCAGGGGTTTCAAACCCCATGGAGGCCAGGCATAGCAATCTCAGAGTCGCCGGAGAATGCTCCCAACTATGCCTGGACTCTTGGGAGAAGGTAACATCAGATCCTTGGTTTCTAGATACCATCAAAACATATATGGAAATATATTGCTTAATATATCACATGATATATTCCAATATACTGCAATATATTTTTGTTTCGTAAGGGAAGTTATACATATGCCATCATCATGTTCTTTCATCATCATGGCATCACGTCTTTGTTTTGCATTTCGTGATGTTTCCACATTATATTCATCATCATGTAAAATCTGTTTTAGATTCGATGAGAGAGCTGAAATCAGTGTAAATAAACTGGATCAATAGATTCATTGAAATGATGAGCGATAAATGATTCATTCACAACAAAAAAAATTTACATTATTTTTTTTATTGCCCATTGAGAACTTGGCAATTCCAGGGATCATTCACATTTCCACAGAAAAAAAAAATCATCAAAGGAGCAAGAGACCTTTTATTGTAAATGGTAAAATCAATTATGTACATTTGATGTACACTTTCTATAGCATAAAATGTAGAGTAAAATACTCATGTTTACAAGTATGAATAGTGTTGGTGTGCCGTGATATGATGTGCAGGTTATGGGGAATTTATCGCTTGCACCAATCTGTGAGAAGAGAAGAAGTGCTATATGGTGCACTATATTTAATGAAGTGCAAAAATTAAAACTAGATTCAGTGTGAACTGAGAAGGAGAGACAACCTTGACTTATGACTTTCATTTGTATTTTCATGTTGCTGTTAGTAAAAGCCTTTCACTAAAGAAAAGTATGTTTAGCTGTAGAGTTTAATGAATATATTAATGCAAAACATGCACGTTATATTGCATATTGCTAAACTTTATTCCTATCAGGCTAGTTACAGTTTGTTTCAAAGCTGTTTAGAAAAGCTTTATTGTTTCAACTCGAACTTGTAAAACAGACTTCCGCTGTTCAGATGACAAGTAGCTGTGAAAGTCCCATTTTTCACCTGTCTGGTACATGTGCCCAAGTGATCATCAAAATTCAGGTCTTTGTCCCACACCTCCAGCTTCAGATTTTCATATAGATTGCATTTTGGAAAGTTGAACTCTGCAGACCATGAAGGATTATTGTTATCCTTGTGAAATTCTGTCTGCCCTCCAAAAGAAGATCCACACCAGATCTTGAGGTATGGATCGAGAAAGTTTTCAAAAACGTCACCGGTGAGATCTCTGGCACTTAAACCAAACACCCGAACAGCAGCACTGGCAGAGTCCAGCTGAGACACCAGCATCAGCACAGCCAGAGACACCAGCCGAAGACCATAAAAGACCGCCATATCTGTCAGAAACAATACAGGTTCAGTTATAGAGATGATGACACAAATATTAAAAAGTAAAAACAATGTGTCTTAAAAGTGTCAAGAAGTGTGATTCAGTGTTAAAGATGCCTTACCTTGCATGTATTAGATTCAGTTTATACAATTCCTGATCCTCACAACCTTTATAAAACTGCCCAATCAATACAAATCTTCCAAAGATCATCAACAGGTGGTTCAATAACGTGTATCTGTGTAGTTTTCACATTGACCTAGTTACATTTGTAAAGATGCCAAGAGTGTAAAAATTGTATCCCAAGTAAGCATAGAATCAGTGCATTAAAATAATAGTTCTCAGTCCTTTAAAGCTACAAAGGCAGAAAACACTGAGTCAATGATGTACAAGAGTTATAAAGAAAATCAATAATCTTTTGAAATATCTTATTGATAAAATATTTTAAATGTGCTGCATTTTTAGAAATGAACTATTTAATTCTGGTTTAATATATATATATATATATATATATATATATATTTTTTTTTACTTTTAGACATTTTTTAAGAAAAGTTAAAAAAACACGTATTTTCATAAATGCTTTTATATATTATATACATATATATGCCAAATTAAATGTGGTTCAACCAAATATTTGGCAGACAAAAGCCTTTTAAATATGAATAAGCAGTGAAGAAGTTTTGTATATTTACATGGCCATGGGTGTAACAATTAAAAAAGTACATAGCAAAAGGATATGTGTCAGGGTTCACTGAGGAAACAGACGGGATGGTAAGTTTTAAAAGTTTTATTGTGCAGATGGATCACAGTCGGAGATAACAGGTGAGGATCAAATGACTTAGAAACATAAAGCTAGCTGGTGATTAATGTCCTTTTCTCTGTTGCAGATGAGTTGGCGGTGGTTCGGGGAAGATGGATCGGTCTTTGAAGAACGGGAAGCAGGTAAGTAGCCGGTAGGTAGTCAGGGAGTCTGTGAGCCATGGAATGACGAACCAGACAAGTGACTGCAGTGAGAGTGAGTGCTTTATAGTTAATGTGGGGGATGGGACACAGGTGACGGTGATCAATAATCAGGGGATTGTGAACAGGGAAGTGTCCGATTGGGTGAGAGGGAATGAGTGGGCGGCGATGAGGATCGTGAAGGGGATGGAATCCTGACAGTACGGGGGGGAGGAGGAGGTACGTCCGTAGGAGGGTTATCTGAGAGTGGAGGCTGACAACCAAGGATACACTGGAAGGGGGTGAGCCCGATGGAGTTCTGCCGCAGGGAGTTTTGAGCATACTCCGCCCAAGGGAGGAAACGGCTCCAGCTGTCTTGGTACTGGTGGCAGTACGTCCGCAGGTAACGTCCGATCTCCTGAATCTTTCGCTCAGTCTGACCATTAGTCTGCGGGTGGTAACCGGAGGAGAGGCTGATGGTGACCCCAAGGAGTCTGAAGAAGGCTTGCCATACTTATGAGATGAACTGGGGTCCCCGGTCCGAGACGATATCCTCTGGGAGACCGAAGTTGGTTTCCACCTTCCTCTGGTCTAAGTTTTAAGGTCTAAGTTTTGCTGCAAAGCCGCTTCCAACTTTAAAGACTTTCCATCCATCCGCCAACACATCACGTGATTGACCGCTAAGATCTATCCAGGCATGAGGAGACCGCCAGCCAAAAACACAGACCCGGGAAACCACCTTTTACGCCCAAAAGGAATCCCCAAAAGAACGCAAATAGTCAAGTCAAGTCAAGTATATTGATACTTTTTATAGCGCTTTTCACAATATAGATTGCATCAAAGCAGCTTCACAGTATCAGTCAAAACATATGTTCGTTTCTTAGAGGAAAAACATCCACGTTTGGTAGAGCTGATCAAGGGAATAATCAAGGGGAATAATCAAGGGAAAATACGCCGCAAGTAGCCTCCAGACTCTGAACTGAACTGCATTGAGATAAAATTGAATAACCCGCCTAAGAAACGATAGAAGGGTTCAATTAATGATTGATGGTTTGTTCAGGTCATGTCTTATAAGTGCATATAGAAATTTGGGATTTCATCATCTCACTCTTAAAACTCGTTCTTTCTTCACTCTCTTTCTTTCTGCAACTCGTATGAATGTGTGTGTGTGTGTGCGTGTGTTTGTGTTAGATATTAGTCTTATGTGTTAAAATAATCAATAAAGTCTTGTTTATATTTTTGTGTTATGTGCTTACGAATTTAATGTCTTAAACTGCTGAATTAAGTTACCTTCATCTATGAGTTACCTTGCTAATGAATAGAGTTTCACTATAGTTTGGATATTTATATCCGCTGCGGAGGTGATAGTTACGGCCCGTTCAAATAAACGCTGGACGAGTCATTTGCTCGGCCGTATAAGTGATTCTTTTAAGATTCCCTTTAAATTAATTGATCATTCCTTTTGAGCTAAATTGACCTTTCTGGCCCCTTGTATACATATTATTATTATTATTATCATACGTGTGTTACACGCTCCTGGAGATGAGTTAACATCACGTTAGGAAGAGAGGGATGATTCTATGGATGCCGTGTCACTGCATGCAAATAATTCCCTTTATGGTAGTGAGGGGAATGCTGACGAAAACGAGGAAGATGACTCCAGGTCCGAACTTTCAGAAGGGAGTCTGCATTCTGACATTCTTCCACGCATTTAAAGGTGGGGTATGTGATTTTCTTTTTTGACCATTTTTTCAAAATCACTTGAAATCCTATTCCTAACCCACTTACAGCCACTGAGTTAGAAGCACTGAAATGAAAATTTAATCATCTGTGGAACGGGCAGGACTCGAAAAACATTTTCATTTTCAAGACCGTCTAGAATCATTGGACAGTCAGTGCGTCAATAAAACGGTCGTACCATACCCCCCTCCCCATGCCCCTCTTCGAATGGGTGGAGTGGGTGGAGTCAGGGAAAGAAGGTAGGACCTTTTAAGTTGTGTATTTTCAAAATCTGCCGGCTGTTTTGCAAATCACATACCCCACCTTTAAGTGCAAGGATTCTGGGCCTTGATGCTCAGGAAGAAGCTCCAGCTCCAGCCCCCACACAAGGTGTGGACGAGTATGTCCCGTGCACAGCCTACTGTGTCTATTCCTGTGGCTGAGGATTATTCCCAGATGCCGAGGAAAGCCTGGAATAATCCAAAAGCTGCAATCCAGTTTAATTAAGTTAGTTTGTTAAGTTAGATTACCCCCCTGAGAGTAGTATGGGGAACATGTCATCAGTGGAGTGAGATATCGCAGCCCGTAACACTTTGGGACCTGATAAGGTTACTGAGAACCCTTGCTGTCCTGGTAAGGAGTGCCAAAAGACCGATCAGTTAATGAGACAAGAGTATAACAGCTACCCGGGCAGCCCGATCAGGAAATGCTTTAGCAATAGTTTTGTCTGCTTTAAGGAAAGTTGTTAATAAAGAAGAGTGTGATGTGATGAATTTGATTGACACAGCACTCATCACACACTCACAGCTTATAGGGAAATTGGAGCATCTATGTTTTCAGCAATTTTAGCCAGAAGACAAATCTGGTTAGCTCAGACATCTTTGCCTGATTCTATTAGTAAGGACCTGACTAATATACCAGTGGTTCCAGGTCGGATATTTCAAACTGATTCACATTCTTTACTGGATGCTGTTGATCAGGCAAGACACAGAAGAGAATCAGTTCAGCAAACATTTGGTGGACCTTTCAGCCCCCACACTTTCCTCATTCAGAACCGTGTGGGTATGAATGACAGAAGGCGAGCTAATGGTTACCAATTCCATGATCAAGGCACCAGGCCGCTTTACCAGGCTGTCCAAACTGACCAGTCTCACTCTCCAGTCAGAGGAGGATCACTTAAGAGACGTACCAGGAGTTTCAAACCCAGTCTCAGAGTCGCCGGAGAATGCTCCCAACTATGCCTGGACAGTTGGGATAAGGTAACATCAGATCATTGGTTTTTAGATACAATTAATACAGGATACAGGTTTTTCTGACATTCTTCTTAGACAGAGGTCTACAGCCTACTTCTAGAATATATATATTTTGTAGGCTAAGTTATACACATGCCATCATCAGTGTCATAATATGTCTTTGTTTTGCATTTCGTGATGTTTCCACATTATATTCATCATCATGTAAAATCTGCCTTAGATTCGATGAGAGAGCTGAAATCACTAAAAATAAACTGGATCAATATTCATTGAAATGATTCATGAGCGATGAAGGATTCGCTCACAACAAATATTTTTTTTATTTTTTTTATTGCCTATTTAGAACTTAGCAATAAAGGGATCATTACAATTTCCACAGAAAAACAATCAAAGGAGCAAGAGACCTTTTATTGTAAATGGCTTATTAATTATGAACATTTCATGTATACTACACATAGCATAACATGTAGAGCAAAATACTCATGTTACAAGTATGAAAAGTGTTGGTGTGCAGTGATGGTTATGAGGAATGTATCACTTGCACCAATCTGTGAGAGGAGAAGCAGGGCTATATGGTGCACTAGATTTAATAAAGTGCAAAAATTAAAACTAGATTCAGAGTGAACTGAGAAGCAGAGACACCCTTGATTTATGACTTTCATTTGTATTTTCATGAAGCTGTTAGTAAAAGCATTTCACTAAAGAAGAAAAGTATGTTAGCTGTAGATTTTAATGAATATATTAAAGCAAAACATACACGTTATATTGCATATTGTTTATCTTTATTTCTATTAGGGTAGTTACAGTTTGTTTCAAAGCTGTTTGGAAAAGGTTTATTGTAACACCGTGTGACAACGATTGGAACAAAACTGGTAAAACAGGGTTCCTCCGGGGCCCTGACAAGTAACAGATTTAACCCATTCAAACTCCACTGTTACGGAACACGTGCCCACGAGTTCATCATAAAATAGGTCTTTGTCCCACAACTCCACCTGCAGAACGTCATATCGATTGCAATTTGGGAAGTTGAACTCTACAGACCATGAAGGATTATTGTCATCATCGTGACTTTCTGTCTGCGCAAAAGAAGATCCACACCAGACCTTGACGTATGGATC